ATTTGTGCGTGACCAAGCCTTTAGGTGTGTGATTTAATTAACTGTATGTGAAACCAAATTTTATGTACAAAATCTATCAAACTGTGTGGGAGACCAAAGTTTGGGTATGTGATATAATTAATTGTGGATGAGACCAAGCTTTAGATATGGGACCTGACTAATTTGTTTGTGAGACAAAGCTTTAGATATGGGACCTGACTAATTGTCTGTGAAACCAAGCTTTAGGCATGGGACATAACTAACTGTGTGTGAAACCAAGCTTTAGGTATGGAACCTAACTAATTGTGTGTGAAACCAAGCTTTAGGTATGGAACCTAACTAACTGTGTGTGAAACCAAGCTTTAGGTATGGAACCTAACTAATTGTGTGTGAAACCAAGCTTTAGGTATGGAACCTAACTAACTGTGTGTGAAACCAAGCTTTAGGTATGGAACCTAACTAATTGTGTGTGAAACCAAGCTTTATGTATGGAACCTAACTAACTGTGTGTGAAACCAAAGTTTAGGTATGGAACCTGACTAATTGTGTGTGAAACCAACCTTTAGGTATGGAACCTAACTAATTGTGTGTGAAACCAACCTTTAAGTATGGAACTTAACTAATTGTGTGTGAAACCAACCTTTAGGTATGGAACTTAACTAATTGTGTGTGAAACCAACCTTTAGGTATGGAACTTAACTAATTGTGTGTGAAACCAACCTTTAGGTATGGAACTTGACTAATTGTGTGTGAAACCAACCTTTAGGTATGGAACCAAATTAATTGTCTGTGAGACCAGGATTTAAATATAAGACCTAATTAATTGTGTGAAACCAAACTTTAGATATGAAACCTAACCAATTTATGTGGTTTGAGACATTTGGTGGTATCAAGTTTAGGTAGGTCAAGCTATCTGGGAATCTTTGCAAAAATTTAAAGAATAAAATTCCAGCCTTTGCGGGTTTGCACTAAGACTTTCAGGCCAGCAGGAAAACACCATGAACAAGAACAACAAAATAAAACAAGCAACCAAGAAATAAATGTAATTAAATATGTATTTGTTCATATTTGTATATAAAATGAGGCTTGGCAGTATGCCATACTCTTGTCAGTTACAGTCTTTTTCTCAACCAGCAAGAACAAAGAGGGTTTTGAAATTTCAACAAAGGAAACAGATTCACAAAAATAACTTGTGTAAAGAAACAAAACTAAACATAATATGGCAACTACTGGACATATATAAATACAGTGTTGTAATTACAGCAACATATATGTTGAGCAATTCATCTACAGAATGGTATTTTTTTCTCTTCCATTTTACAGTCTGTCAACAGTATTTTCATCATCATATATCATCACGTATGAAACAATACTTGGGAATAAAAATATTTTGTATAGTTGCTTTCTAATATTTCAAGATGTGAGGAATCCGCTTGTGTGCTTTGAGGTGTTCTGGGTGTATGGTGCACGATCAGAATTGTATGAACAATTCAGTACTATTGATACGTTGATTGTTTGAATTAAACATTGACATCACAGCACTCTGGACACAATCCCATTATTTGCTTCATCCCCAATTTCAGCAGCTAGTGAAGTGTTCCAAATCTGATGGCACCAGTAACTGATTGCATATCTGTCTCCCCTTTCCCCTTAGTGTTAAGCATTGGCTAGATCCCCAGGGAAATCCTCAAACTATAATGATCCATTTGTGTCTCTATCCAGTACTTTGGATGATGCAGTCTAAGTTATTAGGCCACAATTTTTTCTTAGAACACTTTCTGTGTACTATCTTAAGCTGGGTAGACATAGAAGCTCTGGACATTAAAAATGCTCCTTAATGTGGACTCAAACTTATTACCACTGAGATGGTGAGTGAGTGCACTTAGCCACTACACAATCATGGCTCCCAGGTTTTTAATCTACTTTAACATAGCTCAAAACATTTTACCATGTGTGTTTTCTGCAGAAGTGTAAAATATTAAAATAAAAAACATAAAAAATCTTTTTCCTCGAGTGAGCATTGGACATTTGGCATTAGCTCTATATTTTAACTGACCAATCAGTGCTCAATGATTCAAGTTCACATCTGCTACAATTACTGGTACTAATTTTAGGCTACGTCAACCTAAAAGCCCAGGTCAGTTTTTTTAAAAATGTCTGCCTTATTACGGCTGAGGAAAAAGGCTTGAAGCAGTCACCACTTTGTACAAGCAATTTTATTTTAACATCATTTATATTAGACAAATACCCTTTTGGTTTAAGCTAATACATTTAAGGTACGCTCCTGATTAATCTGACACATGATCAATCAATACCAGGCTGAGAACTCTACCTCCATATTCTGATTTCAACAGTTTAAATATGTACTAAATCTTATCATATAGCAGGCTATATTTACTTCTCTTCTGTAGAATAAGGAATAAGACAATGCATTTAAGTTCGATTGCATTCAGCATTGAAGCTACACACCAAATATTGTCACAGAAACACCTAGTTCTCATCTTCTCTATATGATTTGCAATATGATGACTGTGAATGCATTTATGATAAAGTTTATATTTATATGAGATTTACCATAGATATATCAGATAGAACAAATGATAAATGTTTTTGGAGATCTAACTGCGCAATACAACTGCTAAACACATTCAACGGTCTACAGTCAGTTCCAAACACTGATCTGTCTAAGCAAACAGAGGAAGCAAACACAAGGTGAAAGGTGAAATGCTTGAGAAATTCAACCATTTTTACTAGAAAAAACAGGGCTGGAAACTATGATGTTAGCAACAGAATATATACACATGAGACTAAAAGAGAGACAATAAATGTCATACTGTGGACAGCTTGTGAGAATGAAGTTCAATCAGTTACTATCCTGTCGAGCTCAGGAGATAATCTGGGGCAGTTAATACTAGACAATATATATTTTTGACCACTTACTACTACTAGACCATATATATTTTTGACCACTTACTACTACTAGACCATATATATTTTTGACCATTTACTACTAGACAATAGATATTCTGGCAATAGACAGCAGATATTTGGGCTGAGCAATAGATATTCTAGGATAAACAATAAATAAACTGGGCCACTCATGAGATTTTATTGCCAGTTACTACTACTACTAGACAATATATATTTTGGGCTAAACAATAGGCATTTTGGTCTAAATAGTAGATATTTTGGGTTAGACAGTAGCTATTTTTAGAAGAAACAATAGATATTTGGGACAGAAACAGGGAGGGGCAAAATTTTCAAACTTTCACTTATACAGACCTAACCAGGTTTACAAATGACAATTCATGCCAGAACATGACAATGGTTACGGACAGCTGATTATAATGGATAAAGCCAAACTGATACACATTCAGCTATCCTAGGAATTAATAAGTCTAAAAACAATATACTTTTAGACATAGTTGTGTTAGCAAGTACATACATAAGCACCGGAGATATTCTTTAATAAACATGCTTTGAGGAAAAACATACATAATTACATTTTTTATATACCAAAAGCGGCACTCAGAGCATCATATTTAAATGTTAAATGCAATCAACAAAGAAACTTCATTACAAACATGTAGATAAACTTAAATACTACAATAAACGCACAAAGAAAAGAAATTAAAAGAACCAACCAGCGGAACTTTAAAAAAAATTGTCTATCAGAGATTTACTACTGAACTCTACAGTCTCTTGGCCAGAAGAACAGATTGACAAAAATACATTTAAAAAAAAAAATTCTTGTATGAGAAAAAATAAAATTACTAGTTACCAAATTGTATGCAAATGCTGAAATTAAACTGCAAATAAATTATATGGAAAAACACTTCACCAAAACATGTAAGAATATTAAAATTGAGAAAAACAAAATAAAAACAATAGCAGATTCAATGATTAATGCTGCCTTGCATAAATAAATTATGTACATACTAACAATTAGTTAAGCGAATGTGTAGTTAACAAAGGCATGACAATTACTGTCACCAGTCAGGTAAAACAGAATGAGGGAACAGTTATAAAACAGCAGTGAAAGATCAAACACTGCATAAAATAATTAATGGCACAGTTTTATGAAATAAATAAAAGTGAAAGAATATCAGAAAAAAATTTGATTCAAAGACAAATTGTTTAGAAAATAACCATCACAGATACTTGCTTCAGTAGAAAATCAACAAGACAACAAGAACGGTCCTGGAGCCTATATTTTTAATAATTGAATATTTGTGGGGAAAAGTGAAGAATCTTTCGTCACATCTTCAGGCGTTATATAGGGCTAGACCTATATTTTTTCAGACTAATCATTACTAAACGAGTGATGTGATCAGCATTACGCCTGCCATGTTTACTTCCCAGGACTCCATCTGGTACCCATTTAAGGCTGGGTTGACCTTCGAGTCAATGGCATTTTTTTTTTTAAAAGCCTGGCTCCATCAGGGCCTAAACCCAAAACCTTCAAATCTGCAAGTGAATATTTGTGGGCAGTTAACAAAAATAATTTTGGTGCTGTCTCCAAAATGGAGGTTGCTGCAGCAGGATATCTGTATCCACAGCTGTCTGGAAATATCAGGTGGTGACATTCAATCTATTTCATGCCGCAACTGTTGTACCAATGTCCAATATCTATGAGATTGTTTATTTTCCCCTCTCTAACACTAACCCCCCCCCCCCCCCCCCATAAAAATTCAACTCTGGGACTTTGAAGATTGTGAAACACATTCACTAACCTGTAATCCAGAGACTTACAGTAATACTTAGCTAGATTACCATCAAAGATATTATTAAAATCTTACTTTATTTCACTGAAGTACTGAAATTTTGACACTTTAAAAAAAAACTGATACTAAAGTAGTCCTTTTAACATTTCTTACTGATTCTAAAGTAGACTTATTTCTCAACATTACCTGTACATATATATGAGAAATAATTTTTCATGATGTACAGCTGTGCGAAGATAGAATTCATAGGTAGATACTGGACTAGCACCAAAACACCACCAACTAAGATACAGTCAGTTAAAATGATGGTATGGAAGAAGGTGGATAAGAAGATGAGTTCACAACCAGAGATTCTGTACTTGCAATACTGTCCATCTGATTCACTGAACTAAATGTTTCTGCTGATGATTGTGATGATGTATGTTTGGCTTCTTTTGTGCGCTGTTTGAGGTGAACCTTTGCATGGCGCTTTTTCTCATCGCTGCGAGCAAATTTTCGGCCACAAATGTCACACGAGAATGGCTTCTCGCCGGTGTGTGTTCTTTTATGCGTGGTCAGGTGATCACTGCGGCTGAAAGACCGCCTACAGATTGGGCAAGGAAAAGGCTTTTGTCCAGTGTGTATTCGAAAATGTCGTGTGAGCTCATCACTTCTGGAAAATCTGCGGTCACAAGTATCCACAGGGCAAGGGTATGGGCGCTCATGGGGCAGAGTCTTACTTGGACGGTTTGGCCGTGCTTTCACGGGCAATGGAGCCTGGTAGGGCTGGTTGAGAACTAAAGGCAGCCCTGAACTAACAGAGGTGTTCGGTGAAGCATTTACAAAGTCCATGGTGTCAGAATGCATAAACAAGTTTTCGTCCACTGGCTCAGTCTTGATACTTGGCAACTGAAACTGAGATGGCAATCCAGAAGTATTCTGATACATTTGGAGAGCAGTAAAATCTGGAAGACAGTCTTGGTTGAAACTTGCAACCCACTTTAAATCAGTTTGTGGTTCCTGATTTTTTTTAGTTAAATCAGAAATACTCTGAAAAATACTGTCTTGAATAGAAGAATTGAAATGTAGAAAGTTTGGTGGTATTTCCTGCTGCTGTTGCATGGAATGTGAACAGCTTCTTGTGTATGTCGGAGGCTGTTTACTTATGGAGTTAGCAAGCTCAAGCTCCATTGCCATAGATGAACTGAATGATTGGGAATAAGGAGGAGGGGGTAAAATGTAGTTCATGTTTTCTTCTTGGCTTTCTGTGATGATTGATAGCTTTGGCTCTGGAGTAGAATGTGCTGAACTGACTGGAGAAGTGAAGTCTGATGAATAATGATCTGATATATCCTGTGCACAGGCTGAGTCTGATGAAGTAAATTGTCCTTCAGATTGTGGGGATTGTACAGACACTGGGGAAGAACACTGGTTAATGAATCCTGCTTGCTGAACTGAAGCTGAAAGTATGCCCAGGTTGAAATCACACTCAGATCCTGTAAGTGAGGCCTCAAACTGGGGCTCAAATTGATGAGAGCCATAGCTGGAAGTGGATTGCTGGCTTGTTGCCTGGGATAAGAATGTGAAGAGCGGTGACCTCCACAAAGATGCCAAGTTCTGGTGGCTGAGGTCAGGTTGTGATGTGCTGGGGGTGACTGCAGTTGTGACAGTTCCAGTGTAAGCAAACGTGGGAGCAGTACTGCCAGTGCAACTTTGTGTTGGATATATCCGTGGTATTCCATCGTTTGGCTTGTCAGTTATGATAGAAGCAAAGATATTCGCTGCAAAAAGACAATAACAAATATTATCTATCATGTCTTCAATGTGAAGTAAAAATACAATTTTTGTTTCCTAACTATCTGTACATATGCAAGTAGTGAAGGCAAAGGACCATTTCCTCACAATGAGATATTATGGACATATGATGCTAACTGCATTTTCTTTTGACCAATCGACACTGGGTAAGTGACGTTGGATGCCGGTCGCATTTACTTCCCCTTACACAGTATGTTAATAGTATAGCATTTGTAGAGACTGTCGAACTAGGTGCCCAAATCAATCTGAAAGATCTCTTTGATAAGAATTCAAACCTATGAACATCAGACATGCGTGTTAAGTCAACGGCGCCATCAGCTCTCGGTGTAGACATTGTAAATTACCATATATGAATTAATAGTTAATATAATAATTATTATAATTTAAAAAGTACCGTCGAAATCAGTACTGCCCCAGTGCAATAGTCAATGCACAGCTAATTAATTACCCCCAAAAGAGAAGTAACGTGAAATGTTATGCCTGATTGCAGTAAATATACACACAAAAAGCATCAATTTTATTATAAGCTGGCAAATTTCGCTTTAAATATGTTTATTTATGTAATTATATAGAGAATCCAATTACCCTTTATGCACTAGGATAAGTTTAACGACCCCATGCCATGAAAACCCGAAAATCTATTTCCCTCCTGCCCGTAGTTAGAGCAAATCGATAGCGAGGCTACACACTACTAGCAGACGGCTTACGTAATTGTTCTACTTTACTTGAACATATCTTTACAGCTGTGACTTTCTAGACATCTTTCATCTTTGACAACTTACAATACTGAAATAACAGCTTATCCTATATTTAAACATTTAAATAAAAAAATAAATTCAGGTTCTGAATTCAAATCATCTTTACTCTGACGTCATTTGACTGCAGATACTTGAGTAGCAACAGCTGTCCACGGTTGTATTGTCGGTTCTGTTTTAAAGCAGCCTAATCTAAGTTCTTGAAATTGATAAAATGTCAAAACTGAAATTGACTATAAGTTTACAACATACCTGTGGCTGTAATGGGTGGTGGTTCCAGTGTGTCTGGTCCAAAGAAAGTGGAGTCTGAGTATTTAGTAACAGGCGTGTTTAATCCTTCGTCCAGAGCTTCGGAAATATGTCTAATGTGAGATTGCGAGGGAACATCGTAGCACAAACTTAGTCCTAGCTCAGTACTTTGAGCAACCGCATCTAAAGTATCCATCAGCATTGTGAAATAATACTACTAGTTACGATATAAAGGTAAACAAATAATTGATTGACAAAAGTAAACATTTGTTAGTAAACCTTTAGAAGCAAAAAATTTTCACGTTTACTACAACCGCACAACTGTCCGAGTACAAACTTATGAATGAAACGTTGGCGTTATATACTCCGATTTATGAATGAATTCGCCAGCGGAGCAATGCCCATGTAGGGAACACGATTAGTATGCCTGGCCAATGAGCGAAGCGAAACTATTGACGTCAATCTGAAACGTACGCACTCGTCATGCTAAGTCAGGACGCGGTAACTGGGTCACGTTCTCGTTAAAATTGTTCAAACATGTGTACACGCATTCTTAAACGTTGAACATTAAAAAAAACATGCTGCTACAGTACAAATATCATACATCGCACTACAAATTATACTACATTTAATTTACCCGCTTTTAAGCAAATGATTAGATGAATTCGAATGTAAGACTACGGCTGTTATGTTGTTCACGAAAACTTCCATACTTGGCACAAGAGTCTGTAGCATGTCATACGACAGAGAACCGAGAGCCGGAAAAACTTGTTCGACTAATGACGTCAGGCGGAACGGGAAATATAATACCCTTATAAGGTAACTACGTTTCCGGGTTTGTTTCCGCTCGGCAAAGATCGGAATTTCTCACGAATTTCTCTAGAAAGCTCTGCAGGTTATGATTGGCTCTCCATTGGCGGTTGTATAGTGAGGTTACGTTGGGGGTTCCTCGCTGTAAAAATAGACAGTCGGAGTTTCGAAGTAAAGTACCTTGGCACTCACTCATAATCATCATCAAGTGCCTTTTTTTTTGAGCCAATCGTAGCACAAATGGTCGATAAACTCCTCAGTACAGTTCTTAGTGAATGGTTCCTTTGCTGTTGTGTTGCTATAAAGTGTTTACATTGCCAAAACAAACAATTTCCTCATACTTGCGCATATTTCATTATAGTTTATACAGTAAGGTGCTTGCCAGCGATTTTCAACACTTTACCTATGTATCATATTTTTAAAAAATGACAGCTTCATTTTAATTACGATAGGGTGCTGCTGCTGCTGCTACTACTACTACTACTACTACTACTACTACTACTACTACTACTACTACTACTACTACTATACTACTACTACTACTACTACTACTACTACTACTACTACTACTACTACTACTACTACTACTACTACTAGTAGTAGTAGTAGTAGTAGTACTACGACTACTACTAATACTGGTGCTGCTGCTGCTGCTACTACTACTATCACCAAAACTCTTGCTGCTGCTAGTACTACAACTAATAGTATTTCTACCACTCTGCCACTGTTATTACTGTTGTTGCTGTTGCTGCTGCAATTATTACTACTACTGATACTAATGTTGCTGCTACTACTACTGTTGCTGTTGCTGCTACTACTACTGCTACTATTAATATTGCTGCTGTTGCTGCTCGTACTAGTTTAGCTGCCACTACTAATACAACTGCCTCTGCTACTGCTGCTACTACTATTATTATTACTATTACAACTACTAGTTTTGCTGCTGCTACTACTGCAGCTGCTACTACTTCTGCTACTATTATTATTGCTGTTGTTGCTGCTCGTACTAGTTTAGCTGCTACTACTAATACTACTGCCTCGCTACTGCTGATGCCACTACTGTTGCTGCGGCCACTACATCTACTACTACTACAACAACAACTACTACTACTACTGTTGTTGCTGCTGCTACTACTACTACTGTTGCTGCTATTGCTGCTCGTACTAGTTTAGCGGCTACTACTTATACTACTGCCTCTGCTACTGCTGCTGCCACTACTATTACTACTACTACTACTACTACTACTACTACTACTACTACTACTACTACTGCTGCTGCTGCTGCTACTACTACTACTACTACTGTTGCTGCTGCTACTACTAGTACTGTTGCTGGTGCTCCTGCGGCTACTACTATTACTACTGTTGCTAGCGGATATTTCAGAACAGCAGTTTCTCTCACTTCGAAAACGACAGGCTACTTTACTGTCAGTTACAAAATGCAGGGGTGATTTTGCTTCTATGTTACCAAATCTAGAGGTGATTTTGTTTTTCTGTTACACAATCTATAAAAATGTCCGCGTTTCTCGTTCACAAAATCCCGTTGCAATGAATTAGATCCTACCGACTTCAATATTTAACTTTCGGTTACAAAATCTGGGAACCATAACCAAACAAGGAGTCACTTTCAATAATACCAACCGGAAATATAGTAGAAATTTGTAATAGTTGCTAGATTTACAATTGTAAAACTTGAAATAGACTACGTAAAGAAGGTCTACGTTCAAAGTCAATACATAACACGAACGTTTCAAGCTAATTATATTGGGACAATCCTAGGAATAACACACCTGTAGCCAAAACAGAGGCGACGCATTGATATGAAGACAAGAAATGCATACAGTTTACGTAACTTTAACGTATGCTAAAAACAAGTATCAACAATTAAATTATCTAATAAAAACTACAGTATTAAATAGCTAAAAGTATTGGGTGAGCATAAATTCGCAAAGACAAAATCTCTGTAAGTCTCAGCTATACACCAGAAGGGTTGAATACGATATATGTGATTAAATTACTAGCGCTGTATGGATATAGACCAATCTTTGCAAACTAATATTTAAAATGCCGATAACAAACACGCTTACCTGTTTACTTTCTACTGTCGTAATATTTATGAAGATTCAACGGTAAATTCTGAAAACCGGTTTCGGCAAATAACAAAAGAATCAACAGGATCGGTTTTGCTGTTTTTTCCCCCCAATAAAAATAGGAAATTTGTTATGAAAAAGAAAGCATTAAAAATAAAAAAAATAAAAAAAAGACGACATCGCGTCATATTAGCACAGTCCCACGAATCACCGGTGAAAGATGACTAAATTTAAAAAATCTACGTTGCGATTTCGCAGAGATTAAATGAACAGGCTTGTAAAGATTAGTATAAAACACGGATACAATAAAATTGATTGGAAGTTCATTATTCTGTAGTCAGACAAACACTTGCACTGAAAAGACGAGAAAGACAAAGGGTTAAGCGACAAGCGTGTAAGCAGTATCTTGGCGGGTGGTGTAAGATGTGAGCGAAAATGCCTCTGCATGTATAGCGATTTCAAAGGGTTTTTATTTTCTGCGCCCATACTTTTTAGTCATGATAAAAAGTTGTGAAACTACATTTCTTCTTCTTCTTCGCATTCGATTCTTCCAAAATTAATCCACTCATCTGCTTGTGAGATGCAATATTTCGTTATTTGAAGCCCCACCCTGGCTCTTGCCAGGGGCCGCAATATAGCCCGACCATAAATATGGTCTAATGGCTGAACGCGGTTTCTGGGACCTCTCCACGGTTATCTTCATCCACATGGTATCACATTGTGTCATCGGGTGTTTATCGCTTGTGTGATGTCCTAGTGGGGTAAAAATCTACTACTACTACTACTACTACTACTACTACTACTACTACTACTACTACTACTACTACTACTACTACTACTACTACTACTACTACTACTACTACTAATTCTTCCAATCCACTCTTTTGCATGCAAATTTCACGATTTCGATTTTGTAAAGCTAACATAAACTAATTGTTGTTTCTTACCAACTTTTTCTCTTCCCTTTAATTTTCTACTCCTTATAAGAACGATTTCTGACAAGGCGTTCAACCCAGCATTTTTGTCTCTCTTAATAATGTTCTTCTTAATGTTTCCCTTGGGCGTCCACTTTTTCTCTCTCTCATACCGTTCGTTTCTACTTCCAGTGCCTGTTTTGTAATTTTCTGCTCATATCGTCTCAAAGTGTGCCCAATATATCTCCACCTTCTTTGCTTTATTGCAGGTATTTGTCCAGATATTTCTCTAATCTCGTCACTCTGTTTTGAATTCATCACATTTCATGTTCATGATTTTTTTCTGAGATATTTATTTTCAAATGCATTTAACTTTCGTTCCATATCTTTGGTGGTTTTCTAACTTTTTCTGGCATGTTAGAAATGATATAAAGCTAGAATTAAAGATTCCCAATTTGGTCTTAATTAAAGCTGTATAACGCGAAGCTCCATATTTTGTTAAGGTTATTAAAGACTGTTGTTGCTTTATCAATGCGTATCACAATAAGATTCACTTTAGTACTCTGGGATATCTGCTTGTGTGTCAACAGGTGAGATAGTTGCCCAATTACTTGATTAGCTTTGGCACATCTCGAGCGAATTAATTTCTTTGTCCAGTTTTCCGTCGGATGTGAAAATTGCTCCCAAATACTTAAATTCCTCTGTTTGCCTTAGGGTGTTGTTTTTTAATTTTATTTCTAAATTGTCTTTATGTCTTTTTATCACCATGGTCTCTGTCATCGTAGTGTTTATTTTTATATATGACAAACAAATTACAGACAGTTAGAGAGACAGAGAGAGAGAGAGAGAGAGAGAGAGAGAGAGAGAGAGAGAGAGAGCGAGAGAGAGAGTAAGAGAGTTAGAGAGAAAGGGAGAACTTAAAGGGAGCAAAATGCCGAGAAATAATAATAATAATAATAATAATAATAATAATAATAATAATAATAATAATAATAATAATAATAATAATAACAATAACAATAATAATAATAATAATAATAATAATAATAATAATAATAAGAAGAAGAAGAAGAAGAAGAAGAAGAAGAAGAAGAAGAAGCAATAGCAGCTTGGTACATAATGAGATAATAGAAATGTCACAGTTCGTGCATCGTTAGTAACGAAACAAAGCATCCAATAATGAGGTATTTGACAAAAAGGAAGTTTAAGTAAAGGACACAATAGATACTACGTATGTACGAAACTAAACATGACTTCATTCCAATTAACAGAGGAGGGACAACAACTATGTACGTCATTGAGCGTCAGTGTGTCCAATGCAGTGTTGACATGTCAAACTGAAAGACATGGAGTCTAAACACGCGTTGGTGTGACTTTCATTGGGGATA